GAGTTAGAGATACCATTCCCAGGCCCAACACCCTGACTCTTTGACATGGGCCCCAACTCACATCCTGCCTAGTGTTTGCATAGCGAAGAATTCCATCCTCCAAAACAAAGTATCTCTGTGGAACGGTCCAGGAGGAGCAGAGACCCATAGAGAGAGAGCCAAGAGGTAGGAAGGAAAATAACTATAGGTTCATCTTTGTAAATTCTTCTCCCTTTTTTTTAAAGACAAAAACCTTTTGCTGGAGAGTGAGAAGCTCCTTCTCTTACCTTGTGCCAACCCTTCAGGGGCCACTTTCTCTTCTTGAGCAAATGACCTTCTTGCCTCTCTGCTTGGGTCCCTTCTGTCCCCAGTCTTCCCTGAGGCTCTTCTACTACTTCCCATAGTTCCAAACCCTGAAAGCAAAGGAAAGCTTCCTGGGGAGATCTGCTTCTCAGAACATGTTCCATCCCAGCTCTTAGCCCAGCCAGGACCCTGGAGCCTGCTCTCCAGTTCCTGCCTCTCCTGTGTATCCTGTCCTCCCTCCCTTAGGAGTTATCCCCAAACCCTCATTGGCATGACTGGGTTAAGTGTTCTCCATCTACCCTTCCCGATGCTAACAGCAGACCCTCAGACCTGCTGGATGATGTACTTAGAAGGCTGGGTGCTGTCTGAGAGGGAGGGAGCAGCAGCCCGACGAGGGGAGCCAGGGTCCCTCTCCTGGCTATCCATTCAGGGGGATGAGGAAGCGTCCGGTCAGAGTAGGGGGCAGGGGAAATGTCACCTAATGGTCCTGAGACTGTCCTGGAGTAAGAGAAAGACCATCTTGGGTAAGTCACCTTCTTCATTCACCTGAAGCCAGCCCCAAACCCTCTAGGGAAATAGAATACTGACCTTCAGTCCACCATCTCTAGAACCCAGCATCACTTTCAACCTCCCTATCATCTCTGCACCATTTTCCCAGTTCCCTGCCAACTCTTGACCCCAGGCTAGTTGGGAATTTGTGGGCAAGCTGATTCTAAGAAAGCCACAAGGGGTGTGCCCAGCCACACCCTGGGCACACAGACAACCAAGCTCTGGGAAACACTCTACTTTGGCAGAGGAAATGGCATGGAGAGGAATTGGGAAAAGAGACAGACAGGGTCTAAACAGACAAAGATCAATCAATCAACTACCATATGTGCCAAGCATCTTATCAACTTTTCATAAGGAGTTCCCTTCCCCCATTCCACTGTCAGGTGCCTCCTCCGCCACGATTACCTGTGCAAAATCCTTCCCACCTTCTCTTTCCCCTCCTTCCCTGCCCACTATGCGTAATGTCTAGTGGAGAAACTGAGGCCTGAGAGCAGAGCAGATGCTTTTTTCTCCCTCTGCCCACCTGTTCCCCTCCCACTATTCATTTACTATTCCCTAAGTTCTTTCAAACCCTTGGAGTCTCTATAGCTTCCTCCTCCCTTCCTCCTTCTTAACACTCCTGGACCCAAGTCCCCAGGGCACAAAAATAGAGGTGCTATCCATCTGCTAAAAGAATAAGGATAGAAAGGAAATGGGACTAGAGTTAGTGGGGAAGCTGTAAGTGGGGACAATTGGTGGGCAAGAGCAGTTCAAGGTCTTCCCAGGTCCTGCAGCAGTGCCCACTGGTGCCCTTGGCACCAGCACTGGCCATCCTGGCACCACAGCTTGATCAATAATGCATGTGTGTGTGTGTGTGTGTGTGTGTGTGTTGGGCTGGGGTGGAAGGAAAAGGTGTTAGTCTGAAGCTAAGATTGTTGCTCAGGTGATCTTAAGGAGACTAACATACCAGGCACCTGAGGAACGAACCCCAGCTAAGTGATAGCAGTATGGAATATGAGTGCTGGAGGCAGGGCTGGCCAGCGGCACTAGGTTGGACAGAAGACTAAGCTTTGGGGAAAAGCTCCTGGATCCAGCTACTGAAACTTCCCCAAACTCTGCCTGTGCTTTTGGGGGCATTTGGCCTTGATGGGGGTGCTGGCTTCTCACAGTCAAGGGAGATGGGGCACCTCTCACAAGCCAAGGGGGAGGGGAAGTTGGGATAAGGAACAGGGTGGACAGCTCCCTCCCTCCCTACCTCCCCACGTCTAGGTAGGTAGGCAGAGACTGCCCACTTTCAGGCAGGGCTGGACCCCTTTCTCCCGGGAATGCCAGGTGATGTCAACATGACCCCCTTACCGTAGTGCCCATGGACTGCCGGGTCTGCCTGCTCGCCTGCACTGGCTCTGAGTCACCGTCTCCCTTTCTGAGCTGAGCAGTGGCGGCAGCTACTGCAGGAACCAGGAAGGAAGGAGACGTCGTAGCCTCCACTCGAGCCGGATCTCCCCACCTCCTCGGCCCCCCTCTATGCTCCCTCCCGCCAGGCCCTGGGCATCCGGGGCTCAGCTCTGCCCCCCCGCTCCTGGGAGGACTCAGGGACGAGCAGGCGTCCCAGAGGTGAGGTGGGGGTGGCAGTGAGTGGCCACCACCGGCTCCACTGGGAACAATTCCAGAAATGTCAGGAAAGGCAGGGAATCGTTAAAGGAAGGGCCTCAAGGCAGAGGAGGCAACTAGTTTATTCAAACTGCTGGTGCCTTGAGCTGACTTGATGCCTGGCATTAACCTGACCTAAGCTGATACCTAGTGCTATTTCAACATTAATTAATTAATTATCCTATCCCTCATTCAAGATCTGAAAACAGATTACAGATTTTGGAGCTGGAGGTGCTAAACTGGCAGCTGAAGAGATAAGTGCCCGATAGCTGGGTCTCTATGGCAATGCCAGCTTCCCTGGCAGCACTCTGCCACTCCCAGGGCAATAGTACAGTCTAATGGTGAGAGCCAACAGCCAAGAAGCAGGATGTCTAAGCCTCCAATATGAAATTGAAACCTGTCCAAAAAGAGGTGATACAGGGGCAGCTTGCTGATGCAATGGATAGAGCACCAGACCTGAAATCAGGAAGATCTGAGTTCAAATCGGCCTCAGACACTTACTAGCTTTGTGACCCTAGGCAGGCCACTTAATCCCATTGCCTCAAAATAAGAAAAGTAGAATCAATAAAACAAAAGGGGGTGATGATGCATAAGTCCTGAGAGGAGTGATAAGATGAATAAGGCACTGGGAGAGAGCATTCCCCGGAGACATACAGGTTCTCCAACACATAGGACTGACATGGGGACATAGCCACAGCACTGGTCTCAGGGAAAAGTGCCCAGGACAAATGCCAGTCAGCCTCAGGGATCCAGTGCCCTTCAACCTCTCGATCATCCCCAAATTTTAAGATTTTATTCACACTAAAATAGATAGCCAACAGTTCAAAGTGAGCCTCCACAGATTTGTATTTTAGCAATTGAGCTAAAGCTTTCTGGGGTGCAAATGGAGGTGCCCTTCAGGAGATGGGCAATGTTTTAGCTGGGGAAGAGTCTCAAACCTGTAAAAATAACAGGTTAGATACCCTCAATCCACTCCTTCAATATATAGGCCATGAATTTTTTAAATATTTTGATAACCGTATTTCTATATAATTGTTTTCCTTTGTAATTCTCTACATTTTATTTTATGCATTTATAAACATTCTGAGAAGGGGTCCATAAGCTTCATCAGACTGCCTAGAGGTCTATGACCACAAAAAAGGTTGAGAACCCCTGTCCTGAAGGTTAGCCCTACCCAGATGCTTGGAGACAGGCGGGGCAGTGATAAGTGACAAGGCCAGGGGACACCCTGTGCACCTGCTGTGTCACCAAGGGGGAAAATAAGTCCGAGGACAGATCAGTTAACTCTTGGGGGACCAAGTTAAGATTTTAACATTTCATTCCCAGACAGTACCACTGAATATTTTCCGGCATGAGAGGGCTGGGAGCATTATATTAAATCCACTTTCACATTGAGTGGTCCAGTGTTCAAGGTCCTTCACTGGATACTATGAAAAGCTGGTTCTAAGACAGCAGCTACAGAACTTCGATGACAAAGCCATGCCTGTCCCCAGCTATGGGACATTGGGCATTGCTTTGGGCCTAGAATCAAGTGCTGTTTTGTATTCTCCTGCTCCCCTGCCCAACCCCACCCTGGTTCTGCCAGGTCCTGGGATTACCTTAATGACTTCTATTTTGGCCTACCTCTTCTCCTCCATAGAACGAGAGCATTTAGAGGGTAAGAATTCTTATGCCGGGGCAACTAGGTGGCACAGTGGATAGAGCTCTGGCCTTGAAGTCAGGAGGACCTGAGTTCAAATCCGGCCTCAGACCAAACACTTGACACTTACTAGCTGTGTGACCCTGGGCAAGTCACTTAACTCTGATTGCCTCACCAAAAAAAAAGGGAAAAAAAAGAATTCTTATGCCACTAGACTCTCCAAAGGCAGAGGACTAAGCTTCCTTCTTATACTGGCTCCCTAGGGCTACACAAGGCACTCCACACATAGATGACAAGCTCAGTATTTCCTCCTTAGCTCCATCCCTCTGTCCCCCAGTTCCTTAATTTTTTGTGCCCTCTCCTATTTCCAGGAGTTCAGCTACTGTAGAAGGGGAAGACACAATACTTCATCTAGCAATGGTGGAAGGAGCAAAGACTCCTGAATACCCACCACCGCTCATGGCCCTCTTTCTCTACCTAGGTCACATTTCTTTGGGATCAAGGAAGCTAGGTGGTTGGACACAGTGGGAAATATGCTAGACTTGGGTGTTAGAAGAACCTGGGTTTCAGTGCTGGCTTCAACAACTACCAGCTGCTCAACCCTTAGTAATCACTTAATCTCGATGAGCCCAATTCTTTGTCTGTAAATGGGAAGGAGAGACAATACTCGAACTACTTGTAGGTATATCTCACAGGGCTGTTTGTGAGTAAAGTGATTTGTAACTATCTATGAGTAGGAAGGCTGGCAGCAGTAGCTGGGCCCCTGGTTTCCCGGTCTTGTTTACCCGGATTCTATCAGGGTGCTATCAGGCTAGGGTCAAGGAGCTCTTCTCCCCCTCCCCCTTCATTTCCATCCCCAATCCCAAATTCTTTCCCACCCCATACAGACGACATCAAAGGCTCTTGGGTAAAAGTACATTTATGGACGCTGAGCCCCACCCAGCTAAGTGTCTGTTACAGGGTCAGGGGAAGCCAGCTCTCCAGCACTGGGCACTTCACTGTCCTCTTTGTGCTGCTGTCTGATGTGCTGATCCAACAAGGCAGTCAGCTGAAGGGGCTGGTGCTGTAGGAGGGAGTGGGTCTGAGATGGCAGGACAGTCAGGCCCCCTACCAGCTCCCCCTGCATCAAAGACTGTGAGGGCAGTTTGGAGTAGTTCAGGAAACCTTGATAGCTGAGGATGGTGTCATCAATGCAGCCACCTGGAAGAAAATGGGGAATGTGGGTCAACGGGCATTTTTGAAGTACTTATGCGCCAAGCACTAAGCTATACGCTGGAGACTAAAGTAACAGTCCATGCCCTGTCTCCCCTATTAGCATGTAAATAACTAGCTACAGACAAGGTATACATATGTATACAGAGGCATTAGCACCTAGAGGACCAGGAAAGGCCTCCTGCAGAAAGTGGGCTTTGAACTGAGTCGTGAAGGAAGCTAGAGAAACAAAAGGGTGGCAGTGAGGAGGCAGAGCATTCCAGGCCTGTCCCCCAGGGGGATAGCCAGTACAAAGGCACAGAGGTGGGAAATGGAGTATAGCATTTGAGGAAGTGCCCAAAGGCCAGCCCAGAGAGCTGGACTGTGAAATACATGGAGAGAGAGGAAGTCATAAGAAGGCTGGAAAGACAGGAAGGGGACTACACAATGAAGAGCTTCAGATGTCAAACAGAGCTCTTTACACAAGACATCCCAAAAGTTTTAAGCTTTGGAAGCTTAGAGGGAGGTGAAAGAGAGCCAGTGGACTCCTGGGATAGGGCATGGTCAGACCTACACATTAGAAAATCACTTTGGCATCTGAGTGCAGGATGGATTGAAGTGGGGAGAGACTGATGCAGGGAGACGAGCCAGAAGGGGAGAGAGGAGGAGGGACTGAATTAGGATGGTGGCCTGTGGGAGTGGAGAGAAAGGCATAGATACAGGAGATATCTGAAGGCAAGAACACCAAAGCTTGGCAGTGGATTGTATACTGCCAAGAGTGAATGAGAGTGAAGACTGAGGCTGACACTGAGATTCTAAGCCTGGAGGAAATAACAGGAGACTGGTGGGTCATGGGTCTCTTTGGAAACTATCATTATCAAAGCCCTTCTGGATTTGTCTACTGAACACACACTTCTCATCCCTGCCAAACAGTAAGAGCTAACATTTCTAGCTGGCATTTATGTAGTGCTTTAAAGTTTGCAAAGCACTTTACATCATCTCATTTGATCCTGACAACAAATCTTCCCTATTTTACAAATGAGGAAACTGAGGCAAACAAGTGACTTGCCCAAGGTCACACAGCAAGTGTCTGAGGGGGGCAGTTAGATGGCACAGCGGATAGAGCACCAGCCCTGGAATCAGGAGGCCCTGGCCTCAGACACTTACTAGCTGTGTGACCCTAAGCAAGTCACTCAAACCTCCCCCCCCCCAAAAAAGTGTCTGAGGCTACATTTGAACTTTGGTCTTCCTGACTCCAAGCTGGCTCTCTATCCACTGCACTACCTAGCTGCCTCATTCATATAGTGCTTTAGGGTCAAACACTCTTATTTGAATCTCAACAAGATTTCCAGTTCTAGCAATATATTCCCCAAAGCCTCTTCTACTTTCCAGCCTTGGATTAGGCAGTTTTAATAACCTGACAAGACTGTGCCTCCTCACTCTTCCCTCTTCCCCAACTAGTCCAGGAGGTCTTGCATCATTAATTCCATCTGGCCCTGATCAACCTGTTACCTTAGCAATGATGTTTATGATTCATCCTACACCCCTTAGCATTTGTGTATATACACATATAGATATAAGCATAAATGCATATTTCAGATCTTCACTTATACGTGTTCCAATGCCCCCATTATCCTTGACGTCAGGGTACTAGGGGCTATGTCTCCCCAATGCTCAGTAGAGGGTTATACTTTAGGACACCAGATCCAGGGTACTGAGGAAGACTGAGGTGACCTGCATAATCTGACTAGAATGTCCCCTATGGTTCTCCCCTGGTGCCCATTCCCAGGCGATGATAACACCAACTCTGTCTCCCCACTTAGCCAGTCTGGGCTCTCACCAAGTAGTGGCAGAACAGGCATGCTCCTCAAGACCCGAAGCATCTCCTTGGCCTTGGGTTCTGAGCTCACCAGCAGCATGTTATGCCCGACGAAGAGAGGCAGCAGGTTTTGGTACTTGGATTCCGCCAGGAATGGCTTCAGGATCTGGGGGTAGGGAGAGGAGAATTGGCAGCCAGGAACAGCTCAGACCCCACCCCCAGCATTCAATACCTGTCAGCAAGTGGATGGGAAGCAGAAAGGGAAAACAGGGAGCCACCATGCTCAGCCTAAGTCTCTTTCTAGCTTCCCCAGGGTGTTTCAGCTTAGGGAATGAAGAAAGGGAAAACAGACACTGAGGCTGTAGCCTAGGAACAAGAAATAAGGGCAAGAAGTGATGGCAGCCCCTTCCTTACTGAATTGGGAAAGACTTTCACAGAGATGTTGTGTTTCCGAAGCTGGTGCCTGACAAGGAGCTTGTCCTCAGCACTCAGAGCCACATTCTGACACACAGCAATCATTCGGTTTTTTCTGAAAACTTCTGTGACCTCCCTTCGGAGCAGTTGATTCAAGCCCAACTCCTAAAGATTCAGGAGAGAGACATTTTATGAACAATAGGTACTGTTGGCCTTTTCTCCTACACAGACACACACAGACACACACCACTCCTTCCCCCCACCCCCCCCATGGCATGGCTAACTCATGCAGCCCTATTTTGGAGGAATGAACAAAAAGATTTCTGCAAGCCTTTCTGAAAAGTCTACAAGCTCTCAGGATCAACAAAACCCCAAGTACATTTTTCATTTTAAAGTATTGCGGGCTTTCCCAAAGTAGAGAGAACTGAAGCAATGATCTAAGTAAATGGAGTCCTGGCCTCTGCTTTGGCCAAGGAAACAAAGCTAACTTGATCTCAGGTATTCCTCCAGAGGCCTCGTACCCCTCCTTACCTCCGAGGGTGGCTTGGGAGGGGGGGGCAGACAACATGGGGGAATGGCAGGTTTGGGGGGGATATACTGGGTCAGTGCCATCAGTTTCTGTCGCTCAAAGTGCATAACTCGAAAATGTCGGGTGACAGCCTTGGAGCCACGGCGAACAGTCTGGATGGTGGGCAGCTGGCCTGACAACATAGATGATAAAGCAGGTATGATAAGGTCTACCGTGAATAAAAGGCATGGAGTTAAAATAAGCCTTCCTTTCCTCCCTCTCAACAGAGACAATCATATGGTCAAAGCCTACCTCTTATTACCCTTATGTGACCTTGAAGCAGTCACTTACTAACTGTCTGGAGCTTCTCCTTCTGACAAGAAGGACAGGGGATAAAGTGTTTTGACCTTTTCTGGAAAAATATCACAGTAATTATTACCATTCCAGAGCCCAAGGCAACACTAAGAGGAAACATGGTATAGTACAAAGAGTACTAGAACTGAAGTCAGGAACGGACAATTTCAGGGGAACCTGGGAAGACAAACTGAGCAAGAACTAGATGGAGAACAATTTATACAATGATACATTAAACAGAAAAACAACTTTGAAAGACTTCAGAACACTAATCTATACAATGAGAAACGACGAGTTCAAAAGAATGAAGATGAAACACTACTACTCACCTCCTGACAGAAAGGTAATAAACGTAAATCAAAGAAACATACATTTTTAGACATAGGTAATGTGGGGATTTTTTTTTTTTGGTTGGGGCCTAGATTATGCAGGTATATACTGAAAGCTGTATTTGTTAATTTGTTTTACTTGCTAAATAAGGAAGGGAGAGTAGTAGGGCCGATTAATTTTTTAAATGCTTGTTAACTGAACAGCTAAAAATTTTAATAAAAAATTTTAGAATGGACCTAAAGACTGAAAACACAGAGTTCAAATTCACTGTGTGACCCTGGGCAATTAATTCACTTAAACTTTCTGCGCCTATTTCATCTGTAAATGTAGATAAGACCTACACCAAGTACCTTAAATGCTTTTTGTGAGACTCAGATAAGATAATATACGAGGAAGGTTCATAACCTTAAGGTGTTGAAAGTTATGTAAATAACATCTACTGTTTCTTTATTTATAAAAACAGACTGAACTGGATTATAGGACCAAACAAATTTCAAGTTAAAGGAGGCTTAAGAAAAACAACAGAGGGGGCAGCTACGTGACAGCTAGGTGGCGCAGTGGATAGAGCACCGGACCTGAAGACAGGAGGACCTGAGTTCAAATCTGGCCTCATACCAAACACTTGACACTCACTAGCTGTGTGACCCTGGGCAAGTCACTTAACCCCAATTGCCTAAAAAAAAAAAAAAAAAGAAAATTTGAAAAAAAAAAAAAAAGAAAAAAGAAAAACAACGGAGGAAATTAAAGCCCAGAGAGGGAAAGTGACTTGCCCAAGGCCATAGTAAGTGGAAGAGCCAAGATTTGAACTCAGGTCCACTAATGTCAAATCCCATGCTTTTTCTTCTACATAGGTTTCTATGTTCCCTTCAAGCTCTGAAATACTATAGAAAAATAAACATCAATGCCATTTTTCTATTAACAGCTGGAGATAGAGACCCAAAAGACGCAGTGTGTAGGCACTAAAAATCCCTCCTTTTAAGGACATGGCAAAACTTCCACCCTCAAACATTCATTCAACAAGCATTTATTATGTATCAGGAACTGTGCTAGGCAATGGGAATACAAAACAAAAAATGTAACAAAAAAATTAGTCTGGGGGCAGCTAGGTGGTGCAGTGGATAGAGCTTTGGCCTTGGACAGGAGGACCTGAGTTCAAATCCGACTTCAGACACATGATACGCGCTGTGTGACCCTGTGCAAGTCACTTAACCGAATTTGCCTCACCAAAAAGCAAAAAAATAAAATAAAATAAAATTAGTCCCGGCCCTCAAAAAGCTTACATTCTGCTGAAAAGAAACAATATTGACCAGGAAATACAAACTATACACAAAGTATTATATATGGTAGCATAGGAAGACAGACCCTAAACAACTGGGGGGATCAGTATAAGTCTTACTGCTTACGAGGTGGGGAATAAGCTAAGTCTTGAAAGAAGCCAGAGATTCTGTGAGACCTAGGTGATGGGGGGGATGCATTACAGGCAGGAGGAACAGCTTGTATAAAGGCGAGGAGGTGGGAGATGGGATGTCTGGTGCTATGGTGTGAGTATAGCAAGAAAGCCAGTTTGGCTGAATGTGTAGTAAGTCTGGAAGGGGGGGATGGGGCCAGACTGCGAAGGGCTTCTCATTCCATACAGGGATGTTTATATTTGGTCCTAGGGACAAGGGAGGTCCCCTGGAGCTTCGGCCCCAGCCTCTACTACACTTGCCCCCCAGGGCTGAAGCCAGCGTAGTCCTGCGTGCACAGCGGTAGTCCCACAAGTAAGTTGCTGCCCTGGGGATGCTGGGGCTCACAATGAGGAAAAAGGCCTGCTGGGGTCAGGGGTCACCGAGGCCGGCTGGGGTCAGGGAGGGAACTGGCTGGGTCCAGGGGTCACCGAGGAGGGAGGGAGTCAAAGGTCGTTAAGGGCTCCAGGCCTCCGGGGTCCTTGGCTGGAGGGCTCCGGGCGTCTCCCAGGCTGCTCCATGAAGACGCTCCCCGCTCCTTACCAGCTCGGGGCCGAAGCCGGCGGCCCAGGATTCCAACCACGGCCACCGCCATCTTCGCCAGAGATCTGTACGGGTCCCAGTTGGAGATAGAAGGAACAGAGGATTATGGGGCTCCGGGCTCAGAACCGGAAGCATGGGGGAGGAGCCTGCGGCAACCTTCCGAACTCCTTTCCTTTCCTTTCCCCAGTCCCGCCCAGCTGCCTAGAGATCACGCTAGCGCAGGCGCAGATCAAAGCGTCCTCGTGTCCTAGCAACGAGGTCCGGGTGCTGAGAACAGACCTTTTCTAATGCCTGCAGGCTCCTGCAGCCCCAACACTCACTGGAGCGTCTAGTCTCTCAGAGTGCTGCTTCCTGAGCTCCCCTTTAGATCTTTTTTTTTTCTTGTTTTTTTCCCCCTTAGATCTCTTTTAACCCTGCCCACTGCTTCTCAATTCTTGGCACCCTTTCTCCTCCCCATTGCAACAAGGGTGACCCCATTTCCCTCCCCTGGCATCCCTCCCCCAGATCTCAGAACTGCCCCTGCCCCTCTCCTCCCCCTACTCCTGGCTCCAGTATCCCCAAGGGCTCCAAACTGCTCCTCTTCTCTTCCCCCCCCCCCCGCCCCAGGACTTCAGTTCCCACTTCCCAAAGGAAGCCATGCATGAAGGTGACTAGACAAATGTGTTGTAGTTTTTCCCTGTTCATCCCGACCTTTGAGGGTCAATACCTAGATTCACTCCTAGGAAGTGTGTGACTGAGCCCTGTTTTCTTTGTAGTTGTTCCTGCTCAGAGCGCTGTGGGTGTCTGCATCTCTGATGCCCTCATTGCCAAGAGGAACTTGGCCTTCAAAAAAGACAAGGATACTTCAAAGGTGACGTGAGTATCTAATGAGTTAGAGGGTGGATCCAAGGGCTTCCGGTTCTGTCCCAGCCAAAATTCCTAAATTCTATTCTTTACCAGCCCCTTCCTTCACCACTCCCTTCTATATTCCTCTCCACAAAAAAACAAAAAAAAACAAAAAAAACAAAAAAAGAACCTGCTGAGACTGGGGAAAGTCAACTTCTTTGGGCTATTTGAAAGAGTTGGAAAAAAAAATGGGTATGGCAGTTTGCCTGCAGAAATCATGTTATCCACGTCCTTGCCTCCTGGTGTCTTGGATAGGCTAAGGTCTTTTTCTTTGAGAAAAAAAAGAAAGAAAGAAAAGAAAACTCTTCGGAGACAACCTTCTTCTATTACCCTTTTCATCAGTTTCACAGTGTTTCTTAAGGACTCACTGGAATCTCTCAAATTGCAATTTCTGCTACTCTGGAGACTCTGAGTCCAGCCTGGGTCAGGATCTGACAACCCTTAATACAAACATAAGGACATTCTAATCAAAATGTGCTAAAGTGCTAATCAAAATCCTTCAGCACTGCTTCCCTCCTGGGAAATGCTATTTCTGGCTCTGAGAAACTGAAGCTGTGCATCTATCACTCCACCATGCCTGCCTCTCTTCCCAGGCCTCAGGCTCTTGCTGCACTGCAGACTGTTCGCCTAGATCGAGAGGGCATTGGTTATATTGGAAACCTAGAGGGCCTTCGAGCCCTTCACAGTCTCTACCTTCAAGAGGTGAGTTTTCCCAACCACCCTAAGGGACTGTGGCACTTCAGCTAATAAGGGCCTGAAAAAAAAGCCCAGTTTGTACAACAGCCTGATCAAAGCCCACCTGAAGTTTTGTGTTCAATTCTTGGGGTTACATCTTAGGAAACTATGGACAAATAGGAGCATACCCAGAGGAGGTTGACCAAGAGAGTGAGAAGGCTGGAAAACTTACTATACAATAATTATCTGAGGAACTGGGTATATATTCCATGGAGAAGATTTAGGAGTTCCCATGGTATCCATCCTCAGAGTGACCCTTCTGAGAAGAATAAAGTATCATGCCACAATGGAAAGTATGTTAGATTAGGAGTTATAGATTCTGGGTTCAAACCCTGCCCCTGCCATTACTACCTGTATGACCCTACCTAAGTCACTATCCTCTCTGGCCCTCAGTTCCTCTATCTGTAAAAGGAGGTTGTACTTGAATGACCTTTATAGTACTGATCTTATAAAGATGGAAGTTAGAAACAGAATTTAGTTAGAAGGAAAAATTTTCTGATACTTGGCTCCATATCTTGATAGAGGAGCAGTCAAGAAATGGGCTGACTTGTGATAGAGTGAATTCCCTATCACTGGGGAGGTCTTCAAGTAGAGACCATTTGTCCGGACTGTTGTGATTCATGTTTCACGTATAGATTGGACTAAGTAACAGAGAAGTCCCTACCCAGCTCTGAGAGTCTGTGATTCTGTAAATCCATTCTGTCCAGTCTTCTGCCTTGAGGAAGGCCTTCATTTAAATAATCTTGGCTGGACGAAACAAAAAAGGAGACCCTGTACTCCCCCACTTGATAGTGCCATGGCCTCCTCATCAGGTAATTCTTTCTGATATCTAGCCCAAATTTCTCATGTTGCAGTCTAACCCTCTTATGAAAATCAACAGCTTAGCCTCTTTCCCTACCCCTTCTAAGACAGTTTCCCTTTGGCCTCTCCATCTTCTCTCCTACATGTTGAATACCAAGTTCCTTTACCTTTTCTTCATTGGTCTCACCAAATCGGATCAAAAAATAATTGAGTGGGGGCAGCTACGTGGCACAGTGGATAGAGCGCTGGACCTGGAGTCAGGAGGACCTGAGTTCAAATCCGACCTCAGACACATGATACTCACTAGCTGTGTGACCCAGGGCAAGTCACTTAACCCCAATTGCCTCATCAAAAAAAGCAAAAAAAAAAAAAAAAATTGAGTGCCTATTAAGCATGAGATAGCAATGCTTTTCCAATTTCCCTATCTCTCCTTGGTCTGGTCTCTCTGTCCTCTTACATTGTGACGCTGGTACCAGAACAGATGTGCTGGAGATTTGCTGTAGGTACCAGGTCCAACCGTCCCTGAATATAATAGCTATAGAAGGTAGGATGGCTACAAGTGATGAATGGGAAGGTCCCAGGACTAAGAGCCAAAAAGGGGAAGATGATTCTAAGCAGGTGATCCTTACTTCAGAGACTTATTGAAAAGGAAAAAAAAAGGTGCTTTGCTAACCTTATGGTGCTATATAAATGTGAGTTATTATTGTTATCTGCATTTCCCCAGCGTGGGAAGACATCCTCCAGGTGCTTGGATTAGAGGAGAGGAGCGAATGCTTCTGGCTTTTGTTTCTTTTTTTACTTCTCCCCACCCTCATGTTTCTTATTACAGAATGAGATCCATCGAATTGAGAACTTAGACTGTCTCCCTTGCTTACGGTAGGTGACACAGTTCAGCCCCGTGGATTGTGTGGGACTTGGAATACCCACAGAGTCCACTTTCAAACAGGTAGCCTAGCTCCCCTTCTTTTCCAACATTCACATCTCTGCATTCCACTTTTCCCAAACCATGTCTTGTCCCTTTCCTGGACTATTCTGATTAGCTCCTCATGTCTATTTCCCCTCTCCCCCAGCTTCCTAACCCTGGCAGGAAACAAGATCCAACAGATAGAAAACCTTGGTGGTCTCCAGCAGCTGCAGCTCCTGGACTTATCTCACAATCAAATTGCAACATTGCAACTAGGTAGGAGCCTCGTTGTCCTGGCCCAGGGGACCAAGCCCCCATCTCTGTTCACTGTTCTCCCAATCCTCCCCGCCCCCCCCCCAGGTTTCAAGAGAGCAACGTAGGGTTGAGGGGCCTGTCATGGGTGATTGCAAAAAAACCTGGCATTTGGCAGAGGTGGGAGTGAGAAGGGACATGTCTTCATTGACTTCATTTTCTTCCTTCTGCCTGCGTAGCTGAGCTTCCCCAGAACCTCCTGGTTCTTAATCTTTCTGGGAATGATTGTACCAAGCAGGATGGCTACCGGTAAGTAAATGGGAGAGAGCCAGATCTAAAGACTGAAAGAACCAAGCTGTCTCTAGGGTAGAGGGAACATAGTCCCTGCTGTCCCACCACTTCCCAATGATCCCCAAGCCCATCCCTTCTTGCTTAGACTACCTCAGAATGACAGCTTTGTTTCTATAGCCCCCAGCATGGCCCAGGTCCCATGCGATAACGACTGAACATCTGTAACATCCTATTAGCTCACCACCTTACATCCACCTAGACTGTTTGTCTTGAGGTGCAGAGCAAGCGACTGTTTCTTCTGCTTCCCTAATACCTTGGATAAGAGCTTTTGCACACGCAGGATGCACCTCTCCAACACAATGCTACCTTTTCCTCCCCCTAGGGAAATGGTGACAGAGTCCTTACCTAGGCTTCTGGATCTAGATGGTGAGAAGGTGCCTGGATGGGAGGACCCGGAGGAGAAGAAAGTGACAGATACCCAGGACGAGTTCCCTGAGTTGAACGGCCCCTTCTGTGCAGAACGAGGTGATTGTTCTTTCTGTACAGACCGCCAGGCAGATAGGGGCGTGAGTTGGGAACAGGGAAGCCAAGATAATGTCATGGCCACAGCACACCCACAGGCAAGAGAGAGAAGGGACAGAGCAAATCTGAGCTGGCTCAAGATGGAGAATCCATGACTGTACATGGGCTTTAGGCGTAAATGTATTTAGTGACTTACTCTTCCACCAAACCTTCATGTTCTCCACCTTGTATCCCCATAAGTCTCGTGGGGAGAGAAGTTTGTATAGGAAGCTTAAATGTTTTTCCAGACTCTTCACCTCCCCAGTGTCCACAACTTCCACAGTATATCCAGAGCAGTCAGCTAGAACACAGGCACTTGCTGGACCTCATTCTGCCCCAGAGTGCCACATTCAGAGGACATTGTCAGCACTTACATTCCATCAGCAGTTTAGAAACAATGCTTAGCTGCTAGGCTTCAAGCCTAATTAATTTTAAAAGGATGTAGGTCCAACAAACAGCTTCATGTTTGGATTCTTAAGTTTCTACTTCATGGAAGAGATTATCATGGTTGTTTAAGTCAGTGTGTGCCTGTGAGAACCACGTGGGCCTAGCCTTTCTTTTGTGTGGAGGAAGTAAAAAATAAAACATAGGATAGAATGCAGAGACTTCAGGTGAGCTCCTTCTTGGTTGTGCCTCTTACTCCAGGGTAAGTCTCCTGGGTGCATCTCAGGCTGTTTACCTGGAAACTGATTTGTGCTACTTGTCCCGGCTATAACAACAGCTAGGTACAGCTCTGGATCCAGCCTCGTCTTTCTGAATTCAGAGATCTGGGTCTGTGCTTCCTACTCCACAGGCTTCCTCGAGGAACTGGAACAGGAGTTGGCCAGTCATAGGGAGAGAAGGCTAAGGGAGGCCCTGATGGAGCATGAGATCAGGATGGCATTCAAGCCTGTGACCACTGACCTCTCACTGCTGCCAGGGGCCCCTCCACCTAAGAGCCACAGCCCTTCTCCAGTGTCTGGGAAAAACACAGCAGGGGCCAGCCCCACTGCCACTTCCCCTGGGCAACCTTCCACTGCCAGGAAACCCCATGGCCTAGACAGCCAGCGGCAAAGCAACACAGTCCAGGTGGAGAAAAGGGGAAGACTGACCACAGGCCCCCAAGCCAAGGCTCAACGTGCTACTAGAACGACAACCATCAGAGTCAAGAAATAAAAGGCCACAGACCCTTTACACCCCACCTTTTCTCTCCCAGCAAAGCCACGGGAGGAATAAAAGGGTGGGAAATAAGGATGGCCAAATCTTTAAATTCCCATTCCCTGACAGAAGCTCATTCCTAATAAACCATCTCTGGCTCCCAATGTTCCTTTACATTACTGAGTGGGGAAATTGAGATTGAGAACTCTATTGACACTTACTAGCTGTGTGACCCTGGGCAAGTCACTTAACCCCAATTGCCTAAAAAAAAAAAAAAGATTGGTAACTCCAGTGACCTGCCTGGCCACTCCTCCCAAAGCAGCCCAAGGGTTAAAATTCAGTGAACCAGGGAGAAGAAAAACAAGTTTATTGAGGCAGAACTGTTAGGTCAGGGCAAGGTCCATGGCAAACGAAGAAAATGCAACCTCCCGCAGCCTGATGAACAAGGAAATCTGGGCCCCAGGGAGAGACTCCGCTGGAGGGGCTACAGTTGTTGACCATAAACTTGGCTCTCCTTTTCTACAAAGGCCTGGAAGAGGCTGGCCAGCTGCTGGGGAGAGAGGGCCCTTTCCCCAGCCAGTAGCTTCCTCAGAACCTCCTGTCCTTCCTGCTCCAGATCCTGCTGTTTCTTCTGGAGCTGCAGTCCTTGTTCCTATCCAAAAGAGACAGAGATCAACCCCCAGGATGGAATTTACATAGAGGGCAAGGAGGAACCTACACCCTCTTGCCCTTTGGAGTTGTACAGGGTGTGAGGGGGTGAAGGGAGAGAGAGAGAGAGAGAGAGGATGAGAGAAAGACAGAGAGAGAGAGAGAGAAAAGAAAGAACAGTGGTCTGAGATGCTATATAGCATCAATCATTACAGGAGTGAACCCGACCAGCTTTGGAGCCTCTTGCCTAGTCACCCTTCCAGGAGCCCAGCTGATCACAGCAATGAAGAAAAGGGCATCCTTCTCATCCAGGAGTTCTTACTAATCTATCAGATTAATTCCCTTCCCTCACCTGGTCACTCTCCATGCTCCCCAGGGCTGCTTGGTGCCCACGGTAGAGTAGGTGTCGGCGATCCACCTGGGTCTGAAAGCGTGGGTGAGTCCGAACAGGATCTTTGTTCCCAAAAGTAGGGGACAACACCTGGGGGGCCTGAGCCACCTCAGCCCCAAACACAAAAGGTTTGAACACTGACCTACAGGGATAAGGGAGACATGAGTAAGGCTTCATCCCAGCTCCTTTTTCCAAATCCTATTGGCCTTCCCACCCCTGTCTATTCCCTCTCTCAAATTCTGTGGGTCTGTTTGCTGCCTTCCCCAGCCTCCCACTTCCCTCTCCCTGGCACCTGGAGGGGTCTGGTGTGGCAGTGAGGAAATGGACACAGGGCTGGTTGGGGTCCCGGGGCAGGACAGACACCATGCTGGCTGTAGTTCGGAAGCCTCCAGAATCCATACAGATGCCACTCTCCTTATTCCGAAGGATGCCCATCATTGTCATAGCTGTGATGCTACCTGCCAAAGCCATGAATAAGAAGGTCAGACAAACCCCCAGCGCCACCAACAGAACCTAGATCACTTAGGTGTCACAGTTGGGAACTCAGCCCCTCCAGAGCATAAGGCAAAGATGCCTGGATCTCAAGGTGGGACACTGTCCCTATGCCTGATCTCTGTCTTCTTCTCATAACCCTGAGCTAACCCCTACTTCTTTCGACCCCATCTGTACACCTTGCTGCTGCTTCATCAGGAGTTCCCGACCAGCCTGGAATCGTGCCTTGGCAGCCTCCATGCGCACAGGCTGATGGACCAGTGAGAAGACACGGGCAAAGTCAAAGGTAGTTTGCCCATCCCACCAGCCCTGTTTCTGGGCATGGGCCCGCAGCTCCGGGTGTTCAGCGGTGATGTCTGTGCCGATGCTCAGTTGGTTGGAGATGTTCCGGGCACCCTCTGTGGGGTTGGGGAAAAGGAGAGAAGGCCAGAGTCTGTGGGGTGAGGGGACAGCCCTGGTCATTCCAAACTCAGTTTCACCTCTTCCTGTGGGCTCACTCAATGATCTCTCCTCCTGGCTTCCTCCTCACCTCCCTAACCCCACCCCAGCCATTCTCTCACATTCTTGCATTTGGTCCATCTGGGGGAACCTAAAGTTAGGCAAGGAACAGTCCCTCAGGAGAGCCGGGTGGGATCTCTAACCTCGGATTCTCTGTGCGGCCCATAGTTTCCCGGCTGTTTCCAGCACCCAGGCCTCTTTTCGGTCAGCCAGCAGAAAGGTGTTGTGGTAGCAGAAGGGGGTCGGGTCCTCTCGACAGCTGCCCCCTTGCCCATATTGCTCCAGCAAGTTGGTGATGACCGTCAAGGCTTCCTGGGCCGAGCTGCCCCGTTCTAATCCTAGCCTAATAAAGAAAGTAGCTCAAGGCGCAGGTATTTGGGGCACCCCACAGCCACAGTGGCAGCTGTCAGGACAGGACACTGGAGCAATCTGCCCATGTTAACACAGCCTAACAACTGGAATTAGTCACTCTACCAGAACAACACCCAATGTATATGCTGAATACCAGACTAACCTCCAGGGAAAAAAGACAGTTCCTGCCCTCAGAGAGCTGCTAGTCTAAAGAGAAATATACAAGTCCCAGGCCTTATGGAGTTCCTAGACTGCTGGGGTCATCCTTCTAACTAGGATGGAAACAGAGACACGTGTAGATTCCCTCATCAGCTGGATGGGGAAGAAAGATGTGTAGAAAGTCAGCACATACTTCTTATGTTTACTCATGCCACCCATGAGTAACTGTTGGTAAGGCTATCTCTGTTCATATTGTTCACATCTCTACTCATTCCTGGGAGATAACAGCTGACATTTATATGGTGTTTTACAATTTCAAAATGTTTTACATACATTTTCTTATAACAACCTGTAAGGCAGCTAATGGTATATACTGTCGTTTAGATATGAGTTCAAATCCTGCCTCACACGCTAGCTGTGTGACTGTGAGCAAGTCATTTAACCTCTATTTGCCTTGGTTTCCTCCTATGTAAAATGGGGATCACTTTCCACATGGTTGTAAGAATCAAATGACATATTTAATAAAAAGCACTTTGCAAGCTTTAAGACATTAGATAAATGCTATTTTTTTATACAGATTTGGAAGCTGAGGATCAAAGAGATAAATGACTTGCCCATGACCGATCACCCACCTAGTATCAAAGGCAGAATTTGAACCCAGCCCTCTCCTAACTCCAAGAACTTTCCCCACTATATAGGGAGGGGAGAGCCTCAGTCTCACACAGTGTCTTGGGTCCCTCACCTGAGCAGGTCCATGCCAAGAAGGGCCTCTTCCTGACCCACTGGCTCTTGAGTCCATACAGCCTCGTTGCCAATGCAGACACCATGTTCATTGGCCCCCATCTCAGCCCCCCACAGCCAGGCTGGCCGGCTCAGGATCACTGCATGGGTCCTCTCCACTTGATCCACCTCGATGTATGTGCACTGGGGAGTGAGCAAGTCTAGTCAGCAGGTTTGGGTATATTTAGGTTTCCTCCCTTCTCTCACTTCGGATCATAAATTCTCAGATCTAGGGCTGGAAGAGATCTTAGGAGGACAATTAGTCCAACCTCCTCATTTTATAAATAAGGAAACTGAAGCTGGGGATGTGTAGCAAAATGACCTGCCCAAGGGTCGACAGGTACTGTCAGAGATGGTGATCTGAACCCATGTCCTGACTTTCCATTATACTAGAGGAAGGGTCTCCCTCCTAGCCCCATACTCACCTGGAGCCGGCTCCCTGGAGCATGGGTCCCAGAAGGGACCAGCACCACCTCCTGCACCTCATCCCGGGGCCGGTCTGAGTTCTTGGCAAAGATGACCGCAGGGATGGCGGAGGCCGGGGGTAGGGAGACAAAGCAGTCGCACGAGCAGGGGGCATCGGACAAGTATAGAGATGCCATCGCCTGTGGGGCAGGGAGGGTTAGCCATAAGCCCCCGCGGGGCTCCTCCACTGGCACTAAGAAGCCCCCTGACCCTCAAACCGTGGCCTCCCCTGGCAGTCCTCCCCTGCAAATCCAGGACCTCCCTCCACTCCCAGGTTCCCAAGCAACGGTTCTGTCCACTTGCCCGGGCTGCACGCACACGCAAACCCTCTCTGCCTCCGTCTCTTACTGGGACGCAAACAGGTTGCACACGTGAGCCCGGATCTCCTCCGACGGAGACTCGTGGTGACGCATGACTACGTCTTTGCAAACCTTGGAAATCTCTGCGTGGCTCCCCTCCCCCCACTTCAAATACATACCCTGGAGATACTACCCACCCACCCCCCAAAAAACCCCACACACATAATACACTGAACAGTTTCCCTTTTGCCCCTCCAGTGCATGCCTAGGGACGCCCCTTCAGCGGTTCTTTCCCCCCAGCACCCTCCAAGATCCCCAGACCCAGGCAGCGATCTATTACCTCCACAGCTTGTGGCCCCAGGAAGGCCCGGGCAAGGGGGCGGAGCCACCGCCCCGCCTCTTAATCTGCAGTTTCCGCCTTGTCCACCAGGATGCGCGCCAGCATCACCTCGGCGGGAGGAGCCTTCCACCCCGCCCCGCCCCGCCCCGCCTCGCCCTGCCCCATCCCATCCCCAACTTGACTTGACACCCAGGACCGCCCTGTCTGATACCAAAGAAGGAGGGATGCTACCTTATGGAGCACACTTCCATGCCTTCTCCCAAGAGGATGCTGAGGCTGGAAGAAAGGGTTGAATTCAGGGAAGCAGCAGGGAATTCAAGATTCCTGCTATACAGAGTGTTCCGAGAGTCTCAATTCAATTTTTAGCTATTAAAAGCTTATTAAAGGAAAGAACCCAGCATTGTAGGTGCCTGTGTGCCAGGCATTTACAAAATTTGATCTCATTTGATCCTCACAGCAACCCTGGGATATAGGTACTATTATTATCCCCATTTTACAGTTGAGGGAACTGAGTCAAGCAGAGGTTGAGTGATTTGCCCAGGATCATCAACTAGTAAGTGTCCAAGTCTGGATTTGAACCCAGGTCTTCCTGACTCCAGACCCCACTCTAATCACCAGCCATTTCATTTTTGTTGGTGTGTACACAGTGCCGAGCACAGCACTTGGTACATGTTTAATAAATGGTCTTTTAAAAAAAGAAGAAAAAAATGTTGTGTAATTATAATGACTAGATAAGTCTCCACAAAGAGATAATAAATTGCTCCTCCCTCCATTCTTTGCATTGGTGGGAGACTATGGGTGTGGAACAGGCTAAGTGAATATGTTGATTAATTTTGTTGAATTGCTTTGTTTTTATTCTTTGTTACAACGAATGGTTGTATGGGTAGAGAGGCGAAGAAAGGATATATGGAAATGGTGATGAGAATTTAAAAGATGTGAATAAAAATGTCTTTCAGTGTTTGTTGAATTGCATCCTTGAACCAATTGGGCCATTCATTTTTATAATAACAAAAATAACAATAGTTCACATTTATAGAAGTCTCAAGGTTTAGAAGCACTCTCCTCACTAGGCTGTGAGGTAGCTATTTTATTATGCCCTTTTTTCAAATGAGGAAACCGAGGCTCAGAAGGATAAGGTAACCTGCCGAGAGTCACACTAGTTAAATGTTGAAGCCAGGATTTTTAATCCCCTACCCTGGCATAAATTTATAGACTGAGAGCTCAAAGGAACCTTGGCACTGACCCAGTCCATACCTATCTTTTACAATTGAGTAGACAGAAGCCCAGGAAGGAGAAGTAATTTATCCCAGGTCATACAAACAGTTAATAGAAAAGCTCAAATTAAGTTCCTGACCCTGCCATCTAGGGCTGTTTCTGTTCCATTATGTCACCTCTTCAGGATGGAGATAAAAGTTATGCCAACTACACCTGTAGCTGTGACAGCTGAGTCTTCCCATGCCCCCTAGTTCTTCAACTCAGCACTGACTGGTGAAGGAATGTTCATTCTGCAGTTGAAGAAAAGATTCCTAGAGGAATACACATTTTTTTTTTTTAGGCAATTGGGGTTAATTGACTTGCCCAGGGTCACACACCTAGTTAAGTGTCAAGTGTTTGGTCTGAGGCTGGATTTGAACTCGGGTCCTCCTGACTTCAGGGCCAGTGCTCTATCCACTGCACCACCTAACTGCCCCTCTAAGTTCATTTTTAAATAGGGATTATTTCGTTCTTTAAATGTGTATCTACAACACATTGCCTAGCACATAGTGGGCACTCAATAAATGTTTGTTGGCTGATTGAAGCAATTGGTTTCTGTCTCCCCTGATTAGGGAACTTCAAAGGTGTTTCACTGTACCCAAGGAGGCTATGGATTAGGTATGAGGAAGAATTTCCAGAGAAGGAAGGTTGGAAGTCTGCATAAGATATTGTGGAGTCAAAGAAAGAACCTTAAATGAAGAAAAAGAGATTAACAGAAAACAAGATTTTTTTGTGGCTGTGTGAAGATCATACACATTTTAAAAACTGAATTGCCATTCTTCGTATGTATGATGAGTATCATACTTTTTGCCATCTCAGTGGCTGGGGGAGGGATGGAGGGAAGGAGAGAATTTGGAACTGAAAAGAAAATTTTTAAATTAATTTTTTTAATTGCCAATAGGTTGGAGTTGTAATTGCTGGCATTTATATAATGTTTTATAGTTTGCAAAGCACTTTACAAGTTCCTATGATTTCATCTTTTTGAATGCTTGTTTTTGTAGAAACCTTTATAACTTTTTAAATTACCCTCTTGCAAACATGCAGAAGAATCCTTGGTCTGAAAGCGAAGAGACCTGGTTTCTAATCCTAGCTCTAACAATAATTTATTATGCCACTCTAGGCAATTCCCTCAATCTCTGGCTCTCTCTCTCTCTGTCTTTTTAAAAATCTATTAAATCTGAATATTAGAATAGGTGATTTCTAAGGTCCTTCCCAACTCTAAAATTCAATGATTCTAAAGAAAAAGAATATATTCTAACCAACCTTGATTTTTTTTTATCATAGATGTCATAAATTTAGAGATAGAAGGGATCTTAGAAGCGTAGACCTAGTCCATACTTCTCATCTTACAAATAAGAAAACTGAGACCCATGGAGGTTAAGATCATACAGATAACTTCAGAGGGAAGATTTGAACCTGACTTCTCTGACTCCAGAACAAGTGTTTGTTTTTTAAAATTTGAATTAACGAGAAGAGAAGGCTTTGCCTGATTTTTATAAGCTGCCACAAATAAGTTGTTAATCCTTACCATAAACACTATACTTGCTAATACTAGGAGACAACCCCCCCAACCTTGGTCTTGGAACCCAAATTTTGTAAGCACTATTTGGAACGTCCCTAAGGGCTTATCGTTCTTTTCCTGTACTTCCCTGGCTGCCCTCTTGGAGGCAGTAAAAAGCAAAACATTTTTAAACGAGGAAGGCGTAGAGCAGCCAAATGACAGATGAATTTTCTGAGCTTTCTTTCACTTTCTCATCCTTAAGATTTTACTGACCCTCCTTCCTGGAAGGGATTCCTTCTCTGTATCTCAGCTGGGGCAATGGAAGCGTTTAGTTTCTGCAGGCTAACACAAAATTGTGACAAGGACCCAGGTGTCATTATCCTTCCCCTCCCCACCCCCGCTCCAGGAATGCGGAGCAGGGTCTGTGGGGTCAGAGGTGGCCCAAGGCTTTGGTAGGAGGTGCCGAGCCAGCTAAGCCACATTGCTGCGGTCCCAGTGTCACCGGCCCCGACAAAGGCCCCCACTAAGAATGAAGGTCAGAGGGAGGAGCTAGAGAGGGCTGGCCTCAGCCCTGCCCCAACAGGCCCAGCCGGCCCCACAGCTGTCCTCCTGCCTGTGGGGAAGGGGAAAGACAGGGAGGGCCAGCTTCCTAGGGCCTCCCCCCCCCACTCCCCAGTTCTCCAAATGAGGGTAGTCACCCTCATGGAGTTGGGTGAGAGACTGGGCATCCTTGAATATATTCCCACCCTCTGCTCCCACCAATACTCCTCTTGGGAAGATAAATACCTGGGCTGGTGGAGGGGGTTAGGGGCAATTTCCCTCTGAAGACTCTTCCCTTAGGCTCTATATGCCCTCCCCATTCCCAAGATAGCGATAAAACCTGGCAAACTCAGATCACACACAGATGCCTGGGGAGGGACACTAGGTCTGGGGACCAGGATCTAGATTTAGAGAAAAGGTGGCAAACGGGGAAAACCTGAGGTCCCACAGGGACAGAGGGGATGAGCTTCACCTCAATCCAAGAATCTTCCAAAGAACTGGATGCCTCAGCAGGGCAGGGATGTCGAAGGGAAGAAATGGATCTTCAGGGAACCCTAGGGAATGGGATACTAGGGAACAAACAAGTGTGTTCCATACCCATGGATCTGTGTTACCTGTTTCTGTGAATGTACCTATGCATTTATTGTGTAACTATGTCTCCCTTGGTTTCCAGCTGGGTGGGGGCCCATCAGATACTTCAGCCTGCCTTTCATCAGGCTTGTCCATGATAGGGATCAGCCGGGGTGCAGCCAGAGTGAGGAAATCACTGCCAGTCACTCCCACTTCATACACAGATGGACACACACACACACACACACACACACACACTCCTGGCCAGAAGGCAGGGGTGGGGCCAAGTGGTACCGAGGGAGCCTGGATCTTTTCTAGAGCTTAGAGAGTAGGATACACTTGCTTCCCTCCAATCAGGTCCTCAAAACCTAAGGCTTGAGGAAAGATTCCAACTGCCCCTGCCCCACCCCACAACCTCAAATCAGAGGCAGGATCAGAACTGGGGAACCCTTCCCACTCCAAGTCTGTTCAAAGGTAGATGGAATCAACCTGCCCAGGGAACCTGGGACCAAGAAAGACCCCTTCAGAGGATTCTCTCCAGTGCACAGCCTCTCTAGGCTCTGCAGACCTCACCAAGCACGCCGAGTCAAAACAAAACAAAACACCCCAGCAACAATGATCTGGAGAATAAGAGAGGACCAAGGGGTCCACGACTTTATTATGGCATAAACACACACAGAGACCATTCCCTCTCTTTCCTCTTCTCCTCTTCATTTGAGGGAAATGTGGGTTCACAGCAGTTAAAGAAAAAAATCCTACATATCTCCTCTAGGGGTGGGGTGGGGGGTGGGGTGCTGCCCTGGAGAGGGAAAGTCAGGCAGCCAAGCAACCTAGGTCTATAGGGGAGAGGAGCCAGAGGAACCCCTCCCAAAGGATCTCTCACCCTATCCACCATGGACACCCCGTGGGGAAAGGAGGGCTATGTCTCCCAACTTGAAGTATATTCAGGCTTCACTATACCTATCCTACACAAAGCAGCCATTCTGGTGGCAGAGGGATGAGGTGTCTGGTTTTGATAGGCAGAGAAGGGGGAGCCCACACAGGGTGATATCTTCTCTTTCTCCCCTTTATTCCACATGGCTGGCTGGACTAGCTCTCCTGACCATGTCCCTTCTCCATAGCATAGAGGACTCTCAAAATGGGGGTAGGATTAGGGAAGACAAGGAAGAAAGCATTAAATCTCAAAACTACCCCATGCCCCAGAAACAATCCCCTGAAGAAAGGGGTATCTTGTCCTTCTCAAGGGGGAGGAGTCCCCCTTTTCTAAACAAAAACATATACACATACAACCCTCATCTATGTCCCTGTTTTTCTTACCCAGTAATTATCAGTTCATGAACTGAATTCAACTCCTGGGAGGAAGGGGCAGAGGGAGATGCTACTGGAGACCCTAGGCCCTTGAAGAACATGAGGGAGATGGAATTCTCCCTGTATGGAGACTCCAGGCTCAGCAGAGGACTACACATATGCACTCTCTTATGCATACACATCCACACACCCACGCACACACAAACACATACACCCCTAATATTAAATAAAATACCCTTTACTTATAACTTAAAAATCAAAACACAGCTAAGTCTCACAGAAGGTTCAGTTGAGAGGCAGGAGGAGAGGGGGAAACCTTTGAGGAAGGAGCCTTTGTCAGACTTTCCTTTGCCCCTTTCCCAAGAGACCCTACCCAGAAGGGAATTTAGGTTCCTGGGCATATCTGGGCCCTCTCTTCCCACATCACACATTCTTTCCCAATTCCCAGTGTCTGTCTCAACTAGGCCTCTCCCTCTTGCCCCTTCCCAATATCACAATTCATATTCATTTTTAAACATCTAAAAGGGAAGGGAAAAGGGACAGCTTTTCAGATGTCTCCCTTAAAGGACACATCTTATACATTAGAGTACAACTACTTCATAGGGAGGAAAAGAAAAAAACAAACGAACTAGAGTTTCTTTCCCCCGTAAAAAAAAAAAAAAGAGAGAAGGGGCCCAGGAATCACCTTGGATGGAGTCTCCATTCCCTCTGTAACAGAAAACCCAGGTGGAGGAAGGGATTCAGACTGAAAAGAAAGGTGAGGGGAATAAGCTTCCTACAAGTAAAAAGAAAGGGATGGAGAGATGGTTCAGTGAAGGGGTTGAGCAAGAAGCAAGGATGAGAAGCCACCATTTCCCTATCCCACTTAATGTCTAGCCATACCTCCTACAACCCTACAAAAAGGGAAGGAAGAGGCCAGAGAGAAAAATGGGAGGGGGGCAAGGGGGAAGGATAACTGAAGGGCAACATAATTTCTTGAAATCAGGCCCCAGGGTTAGAGGATTTGGGATACTATATTTTTCTTCCTCAAAAATCCTACTATATAGTATTCATTCGGAGTTTAGGGTCCTAATCCCTTCCCCACACCCCCAAAACTGCTCTGACGACTTTTACTAGGAAAGTTCTTCTCCTCCCAATGACCCCTTCCCCTAATTGGAGGAGTATAAAGGCATCTTCTGGCGCAACCCCCTCCTCCCAACCCCCATCTCACAGTCTCTAGCAGGGTGGTTCTGGAAGGGTTCTAGAGATCAAAGGGGAGCTATTTCTCCCGCAACAATCTTGCTTTCCCTTCCTCCAACGCCCAGCCAAATGCAGACCCCGCCCCGTGGGGACCTCCAGCCTCCCCCTCCGGAAACCCCAAGGACAGGAGGAGCCCTGTAAGCGGGATGAAAGGGGCCCGGGCCGTGGGGAGGCTCCGGAGGCGCTTTCATGTCCCGGTTCCCAGGCACTAGGGACGTGTTCAGGCAGGTTCCCCCGCGCCCCGGGGTTCAGCCCCGCTCCTCTCCGCTCCCGGACGCGACGTCTCTCCCTCCCTCCCTCCCTCTCTCTTCTTTCTCTCTCTCTCTCTCCTGTAGATACCCAGGCTGGGGGCTGGGGGATGGGGGTTGGGGTACCGAGACGCCCAGGGCCTGAATTTGTGTGTGTTGGGGTTGGGGCTGTGCTCGCAGGTGCTTACTCGCTCCTTCGGCGTCCTACGGGACCCCGGAGCTCCGCCCGGCTTTCCAGGCTTGCCAGTTCCCACTCCCTTCGGCTAAACAACCCAAGCATCCCGTCTCCCGGCCCCCTCCTCGCCCCCACCACTTACACTCTGACTTCGCCTCCAAATAAATAACCACCCATCCCCCTCCCTCCAAAGCCGCCTGCCAATCCCGGAGGGAAAGGAGTCACGCGTCTGACACCCCAGAGTGGGAGAGAGGGGTGCACACTGGAGCTGGTGGGGGCGTCCAACGAAGATGGTTCAGTTGGACTGCGCGGCGCCGCCCCCGCCGCCCTCCGCTTCCCGCTTGCCTTTACCCCCCGGGGGTTCGGCAGCTGCTCCCGATTTCCCTTCGCACTGTGTTCCGGTCCCGGCCGCCTCCTCTTTGGAGCCCTCGTGGGTTTTCATGTGCTTGGCTAGGTGGTCGCTGCGCATGAAGACGCGGCTGCAGACGGCGCAAGGGAATTTCTTGGTACCCGTGTGGGTCTGGAGGTGGCGCTGGAGCTCGTCGGAGCGGGTGAAGCGTTTCCCGCAAAAGAGCCAGTTGCACACGAAAGGACGGTCTCCGCTGTGCCAGCGCAGGTGCGCTTTGAGATGCGACGTCTTGGCATATGCCTTCCCGCAGCCCGGGATGTGACAGTTGTGGAGATGTTTCTTCTTGGCCCCGTCCGGCCCACAGGGAGCCCCTAGCCGCTCTGCCTCCAGGCAGTTGGGACAGCGGCACACAGCCTGGCCTGAACTGCGGGGCACGGAACGCCGGGAGCCCTTGGGTCGTGCCGCCCCGTCCAGACTGGCATCCAGCCCGTGGGTCTCGGGAGCTGCAGCTTCCAGGGGCTTAGCGCCGTCTGGTGGTCCTAGCAGGTGCTGTCCGCCGGCGGCGGGGAGGAGATGGTGTGGATGGGTGTGAGGCTGTGGCGCGCAAAGCTGATGATCCCCGACATAACCCCCCAGACCGGCTTGCAGAGCTCCCGGGTGACCTGAAGAGGCCAGAGTGCCCTGGGCATGAGGGAGGTCCATCCAGCTGGTACCCGGGTGGATGTCCCACCATGAACCGTCCTCCGTGCCTGGGTGGGATGGCCGGAACCACGAATCATAGTGGTGAGACATGTCTGGCTGTAGGAGCTTGGAGAAAGGGCCCGGGGCCAAAGGACTGTCGCTTTCCAGGTCCTCACAGGTCACCCGTGAGGAGCCCCCCGGCAGCTCATAGCCTTGTGAGAAGTCCACCTCAGGCCCCAGCGGGAGGTTCTGTAGCTCCCCGGCCTGGAGTGGGGAGGGGTAGTCCCCTGCCTCCGGGCTTGTATGGCCCTGGTATGTTTGGAGTGGCTGCAGATCGAGGCGCGGCGGGGAGGCACGGGGTGCTTCCGTGTGCTGGCTGCCCAGAGAGCCGCAAACAGCGGTTAGCATTGCCGGGTTCCGGAGTGAGGGACAAGGCCTGTCAGGGTCGGTTCAAGTAGGACCTGGAGAAGATAAGGGAGGAAAGAGATGGGGAAAGTTAGAAGCCGGCATAAAATCCTGTTGCCCCATGATCCTCTGCCTATTTTACCCCAGCTGGGGCAAATGGCCCTATTGAGAAAGACTGAGGAAGAGTTAAGAAGATTCAGGGTTTCCCTTTGTAAGTCATTCCTTACTCCAACCAAAGACAAGAAATCGGGGCTAAATAGACTGGGGGTACCTGGAGACCTAGAGCAATGGTACCAAGGAGTCCAAGCCCAGAGTACTTCCCTCTTCAAAAAATTCCTCCCACAGGACCCAGCACATCCTAGGAGTTAGGTAATTACAGGCTCGGAGACCAGGCTGCACAGCCCCAAGGCAGGAGAGAAGTCCTGCGGCAAAACTCACAGCCCGGGGCTCCCCCAACCTCCCTCGACCAGCCAGAGTGCTGTCCCACATCACTTGCTTCCTTTCCAAATTGGGGGGCCTGACGCCATCTCTTGATTGCTCTGTCTCACCAGCCTAACTAGGGAGCCTGCAAAGAGCACCCCAGAACTCAGAGTAATCCACTCTCTTGTCAAAGCAGAGCAGGTTCTGAGATTTAAGGAGGCAAAGTAAACACTGCCTCCCTTCAGTGAGTAGAGGGCATTCCGTCTGCTTAATCACCCCGCTTTCTATCTCCTAGCCTACCCCACCACACTGCCCTCCCACACCCTGGCCCCCACCTTTTCCCCTGAGGCAGGGACTTCACCCATCCTGGGGTGCAGATGCAGTGTAGAATTGGGAGGGGCAGAGTTTCTCTCTCCCCTCACCCCACACACAAACACCAGTAGAGTCCCCTAACTTTGGACTATCAGGCACATTTCTTACTCTGGCACCTAGAGTTTCGCCCCAGCTGGCCCCTTCCCCCAAGATGATGAAAACCCAGGTTGGAAGGAGGGATGAGTGAGACCCTCTCCTCCCCCCAGGAAAAGCAATCGGTAGAGAAAAGCTTGTATGCACCTGGAAAATGCAATTGAGGTAAGGGTGATGTAGAGAAAAGCTTGAGACCCTGAGTCAGAGCAGGCAGCTTGGAGTCATCGCTCGGTTGCCTGACTATGACCTAGGATACCTGTTTCCCCTTCCGCCCCATCTCCTCCTGCTTAGACCCTCACTAAAGTGCCAGGAAGTTTAGTGCCCAAGTGGCACCTATGTGCCTTGAAAGGGGGGTTTAGGAGGGGGGAAGGGAATCTTCCTACCCTAAGTGGTCTTGTTGCCTCCTAATCCGTTTCTGCAGACTTTGGAAAGAGAAGGATCGAGGGAGGTGGAGGCGGCGGCGGAGGCGGCTGGGGAGGGTCCGGGATGGGGTGGGTCCGTCCCCTGTCTCTTACGCCTTCACCACAAGAGAAGAGAAAGGCGAAGCAGCAAGAACCGAGCTGGGGCCAGGGCGGGGCATTCTGGAGCGGGTGGTGGGCAGGGAAAGCTTAGAGGGTGGGGCAGGTCAAAGACCCCAGCCACATCCAGGAACCTGGGAATGCCCCGGAGAACCGGGGGGACAGAAGCGCGGTTTCGGGCCCGGGACCTCGACTAAGAGCTGGAAAAAGACATCCTTCGGACCATGTCCCCAGCCCCCCCACTGAGGAGCAGAAAGGAGGCGCCGTCGCTCAGTCCTGGTACGCAATAGCCTGCTTGCTCACTCAGGTCGCCCCAGAAGAACACCCTGAGCTTCCTGGACTGACTCCTCCAAACCTGCTCCTGTGAAGCTGGGGAGAAAGGTTCTTTCTGTCCCGAGTGGCCTAGGATCTTTGCTTCGGAGCAAGTCGACCTATTTCCTAAGACATCCCCGTGTGCTTTTTCCCGGAGGCCCACTGGGGCTCCCAAGTCTGGAATCCAGGAGTCACAGATTTTAAAACGTTTGAATCTCTCAGCCCCTAGGTTTGTGTAGCTCCCCATTTCCTAGGTTCCCCGTCCTCCAGTCGCCCCAGTCCCTCCAGTTTCCCGACTTTTCAGTCTTCTCAGTTTCTCCAGTCTCGCCAGTTTCCCCAGTTTCTCCAGTCCACTCCCACCCCATTCTCTACAGTGCCTGACCCTGCCAATCCTGTCCCCATCTCCGTAGCTCCCCAGCGCTCGGATTCCTGCACTCCTCTCCCTCCAAGGGGACTCTTCCCTTTGCCCTCCAACCGTCGGTCTCCTCCCTCCCACCTCTTCCCTACCTCGGGACGGGGCTCGGCTGGCCGCGGCCGGCATACACCCAATAGATGGGCGCTCAGTGGCTCCCAGGGCCAGCGATCTCTCAAACCGCGAGGAGACAAATCCAGAGGGCAGAACTAGAGACCCGACGGGTCCGGGCGCAGGCGGAGAAGGAGGAGAAGAAGGCAGATGAAACGAGCGAAGAAGGAGAGGGGGAGCGAGCGGGGCCAGCTTCGCCTGTGACTCACGCACTCTGCCTTCATCCTCTTCCCCTTCACTCCTTTTTTCCCCGGCTTCGAGCCACGCCCAGCTTTACCTGCGGCCGCCTTTAACCCTTCCAGGTTCGGCCCCAAGGAAGCCACAGCCTCTGAGGAGGGGGCGGAGATGGGAAGGGCTAATGAGGCAGTGCCCCACCTCTTCTTCTCTTTCCTCTCTCTCTCCTCCCTTCTTCCTCCATCCTACCCAAATCCCCTCCCCCCCCGCCCCAGTTTTTTGGACTAGGCAGTGGGTTTGTCAGGTTTCTGCGTCACGCCCCCTCCGGGCTGAACTGGTGGAAACTTTCCCTGAGCCGAAGAGAATTCGCTGAAGATAGCCACGCTGTAGCCCCCGAGGGAAGAAGGGTGGGGGCTGGGCTCGACCCCCACCCTCGAAGGGGGTCACATCTCCAGAGCCCCCAAGGCGCCAGGTGCCTAAACTCATAGTCCCGCAGTGTATGTGGGATAGAAGTGGGATAGGAGTGGGGGAGCAGCGCCCCCCACCCCCCAAGGACTTGGAGGGGAGAAGGAAACAGTTGAATGTTAAGTACGTCTTAGGTGCTGGGCCCGGAGGCCTAGTCCGCTGGAAGTTTCCGGACTTTTTTTTCCTTTTTCCTCCTTGGTTTTCTCTCGCCTATTTCCCCCTTCCTTCCCTTTCTCCTCCACGTTGGTCTTTTCTTCTGTCTGATTTCCCTCTCATTTCCCCCCTTTTTCTAATTATTTTTCTCTTCCCTTTTCTTTCTCCCTGCTTTTCTTTCTCCCTCCATTCTTCATTTTTGTATTTCTCTTTTTCTTTCTCATTTTCTTTCGTTCTTTTTCTTTCTCTCTTCCTTGTCTATCTTTTCCTCGATTTTTAATCTTTTTGTTTACTTTGCATCGTTCTTTCTACCTTTATTTTCTTTCCTTTCTTTTCATTACACCTCTTTTACTTTCCCTGTCCTCCCCCAAACTGTTCATTCCTCCCTAATTTTGATTAGCCTCCCTCTCCTCCCATCTCTTAGTGCTTGACTGTCTCTATGGTCCTGGTCCTTCCACCCTCACCCCCAACCCCCACCCCCACCCCTTCCCTTCTATGTCTTGGGTCGTGTCTCTAGCTAGAAGTCAGTCACACACTTCGGTGCCTTGAAGCATTGTCCACATAGACCCATCAGTGATGCTTTCCCCTCCCCAGTATATCCAGTCTGGCAAGAGGTTGTCGGTCGATAAAGCAGTGACCCTCTCTGGACTGGCTGGAGTTTGGAGTGGCAATCTAATCGGGGGCCGGGGATGGTGAGCTTTTTGTGCGTATGGATTTCCCTCCCTGCCCATTCAATGAAAGTTGAACCCAAATGCAAAATAATACATATTTATATAGTCATCCCATGGCAGCCAGTCCTAACCTGCCATCATAAACTTGATTCTTTCCTTCAGTATTCAAGCCTTCAGACGGTCTTTGCTCTTAACAATTCAGGAACTCCCGCTGTGGGATTCACTCCCAGGATCCGCTAAACTCAACTCTTGGGGGCCCGAGTTTCCCAAGCGAGTGCCAAGGGCAGATTGCCAGCCACACGAATGCTGTACGCTACACGCCCCGACTGGATCTGAGTGTTATCTTTCTCTCTATCTACAGCTATGCCCGTGTTTAAGTTGTAACAGATTTACCGAAGAAACTGACCAAGAGTGGAGTCCTCCTGCAGTCGCACTCTGGCTGTTTGTTTGCACGGGCTGCTAGCAGATATTGACCTTTACGTAGAATTTCCGTGATTTGAAATCCCGTGATAAATAGTTTGTAGATGACCTCGTCAAGATTTATTTATCATTCTGCATTGGCATTCAGAAAACCTTCACTGAGCGTGAAATTCAGAGAGGGAATTGGGTTAGGCGCCTGTGTTCACATGCATAGTGAGTGGTGCCCCAGAAACTGAGTCTGACCTCCACCAGCTCCACAGGAAAATCAGTCCTATTATGTTTAGTCTTCCTAGAGCTTTATGTTTTCATATTCGTATTCAAGACAGAGCACTGACTAGAGAGTCGGGAGATCTGGGTTCGAGTTCTGGGTTTTGACTCTTTTAGCTGTATAACTTTGAGCAAGTCACTGAAACTTCTGAGCCTCAATTTCGTCATTCCTGAAAAAGCAATAGTAAAAACCTGCCCTGCCAAGCATGGGAAAGCACCTCGACAATGTAAAGCTTTGGTTATTGTTTTGGCTATTTTACCCGATGGAATGGTTCTTTGATGGCAAAGGCTATCTCGCTTTTGTCTCTATATCCCCAGTGACTACAACAGTGCCTGGATCATTGTAGGGTAAATGCTCGTTGAGCCATTAATTGCAGCAGTTGTATAGGACGTTGCGGATTTCAAAGCACTTTCATATAGTAGGTATTACTATTATCACATTCTTAGTGATAGTCCATCCATCCTGCCTCTATCCATCAATTTTAGATCCACGTTCCTTTCGATGCCTGCCCCTGCGAGGTTTGTCGAAGCTAAGGTTATTCTGTCTCCACCTATTTCGAGAGCTACATTTGTTCTTCGCCATCTACACCTCTGCTCATCTCCTGCGTATTTCTGTGTACACCTCAGTTCAAAGCCACAAAACATCCCAGCAGTGGCAGGGGTCCGCGTGGTCCGCGTCCCTCTGATTCCAGTTTGTTGTCCCGCGGGCAGCCCGCACTTTATGAGCGGCGGAAGCGGAGTATTCGCTCTCTCTGCTCCGTTCCCGGCCCCCATCCTCCGCTCGGGAATTCTCTTGCAGACACCCGGAGCCGAGGAGGCTGCATCCGAGCTACTCATAGACAGCTTCGAGCTCGCACTCGCAGCTCGAGGCCACGGCCAGCTCCTTGCGATGCTGAGATGTCCTTGCTATCAGACACAAGGTCAGGGTCCTCTCTGGGTCCTCCCACTCCCACCATCTCAAGCCTCCCTGCCCCGAACTCCACAAAGTGGAATGGGACGTCGAAAGAGTGGGCGTCTGGGGGAGGCGGACGCGGAAGCCCGACGCCTGGGTGCAGCTATTCTGCGTCTGGTTCCCTCGCTGTGGGACCCATGCTCCCCAGTCCCGAGTCCCTCAGTCCCCGCTGAGACTCCTCAGACTCCTGGAGTAGATTCTCTCTGCCCTTCTTATCCCCCTATCCCCGTTTTAACACTTTCGTGACTAAGTTCAAGTTTCCGACACATACAGGCTGTGTGACCGTGGGCAAGTCATTTAACTTTTCAGTGCTCTAAGAGACTCCGTGATGAAGAGAAGGAGCATTGGTAGAGGAAGTTTCTCAATGGCAGCTGCCTCTACCAGTGAAATCACGGATCCAGTCCCTACCATAAGCCCTTATCACTACAGTCTTAGGAAGAACCATCATTCCCTCCAGTCCTGTGACCTTACTCTGGGGAGCCTGTGGCTTCTCATATTCCCCTCAGGGCCCAACACCATAAATATCTTCAAATTTGATAATGGTTCTTATCCCTAGATATTGTAAGATGCCCCTAAAATTTTGGTTATTCCGACTATTTTACAAATGGCAGATAACTTCCTGTGGAAAAAAACTTCTTTCCATTGATATAGACCTGCAGCAGTCCTGTAATTTATAGTCTTGGTGATTTGTGGGGGAAGGAGGGGGGAGAAGGTAGTGAGAGGTTAAATTACTTCCCCAGGGTAATACAAACAGAACGGCATCAAAGGTGAGACTGGGGTCTTTCTGACTCCGAGGCCAGCGCTCCTGCGGCTATGCTACCCAGCTACAAATCGATAGGTACATTAATCTGTAAGACTCTCGATTCTTCCTAGGATATGTTATCACAGGGATTTATGCCCAAAAAGTTAATTCAACATTCATAGATTGAGCTCCTAGGCGTTGTATTGGAGGAAGGGGCCCTGCTGAGGAAGGGGCAAAGATAAAGAGGAAACAGTCCTTCCACCTCCAGGAGCTTCCAACAGCGGAGATGAGAGGTTGACACGTAAAGATTTATGCTGATTGAAATTCGAGGACACAGCCAGGAGGACAAAATGCTACGGCAAATGTTTCTGGGTCTCTGTCATTTTTTAAACTGTTGACTAGAGCTGCTCTCTAGACCACTGCTTTGCATAGTCTCTTTTAAGGCAAAGCTAAAGGATTTTGGTTTTGGTGAAATAACATTTCTCTCTACCTATCATAGTAGTGGCACATGTCACCTGTTCTCATGTAAGCACCCCCCCCCCCC